CGCCCCCCCCCGCCGCCAGACCGCCATCCCGCTCCCGCCCCCGGTCCAGCTCACTCGCGGGGCGCAATACCACACCACCCGGGGGTCGCACCCTGGCTCGCGCCCGCCCCCCACCCAGCTCATCCGGGGGACCCCGCAGCCTCGCCCTACCCTGCCCACTTGAGAGTCGTACCGGAACCTGCCCGCAACCCAGTTCACGCAGGGGTGCAACCTACCTCGACGTATCCCCCACCTGGGAGTCGTACCCCACCACCCGGAGGGTCCCCTAACCCAGCTCAAGCCTGGGAGCACTCGGCACCACAGCCAGCACCCTGCCCGGCTCGGTCCGCCTCGTCCTTCCTCTGGCTGCAGCGCACCAGCCCACCAGTCGCCGGGGCTGCGAGGACAAGGCGAATTGGGGCGCACGGGCCGGGCCGTGCCCGGGTGGCCGAGGGCACCGGGAGGGGCGGGCGGCGTGGCCGCCCGGGCCGCCCGCCGCCGCCCCGGACCTCCCAGCCCCAGCCTGCCCGCAGCCCGAGGGCGCCGCTGCAAATAGCCGCGGTTCCCAGCCGGTGCCCTGCCTCCCTCCCGGCCCTTCCGGACCTCTGGGTGTTCTCTCCTTCCCGACGCCCTCTCCTCTCTGCCCATGTCCCCCGCCTCGTCCCACTGTGTGCCCACCACATCCTGCCCCCAGCGGTATGGTTCCTGCACTGGCGAGGCCAGGAGACCAGCGCCGCGCACAGGGTTTCGGAGGGCTAAGGATCACAGTTCAGTTAGGACGAACTGCGCGCGCGCGCTACGTGGCAGGCAGGCCCTGTGCCCGGCGCCTTACCCAGGACATTCAGGAAACCTTCACCACGCCCCGTGAGGGCTGCTGCAATCTGCAGAGGGAGAAACTGAGGCTCAGATACTCCTTGGGGGCTAATGTCACTCCGTTTGCACCTGCAGAATGAAAGACCTTCTCCGCCAAGAGGCCTCTCCAGTGGTCAGAGCTCCCCTGCTGCTAATTTTCATGGTAATCTAGAGCAATCCCTGCTTACCTCGGTTTCCACAGGTGTAAAATGAATAGGGTCAAAGGTGAAATATTGCCTATAAGGAAGAATTTGTTAACGCAAAATCCAAAATCTGAAATGGAATGTGAGGCATTAGGTGTCCTGAACTGGGTGAGTTCAAATGGACCCACAGACCAGTACTGGCTACATGGAAAGCAGACTGAGCCAGGGAATCTGCATTTAAGTGAACAGGGATTAAGAAGCCATCTGTTTTTTGTTTTGTTTTGTTTTTGAGAGGTTTTTGCTATAGGGTGCATGTGCTCTCCAGAAAGACAGAGAGAGACAGAGAGACAGAAAACGAGAA